AATTGTCAAATGTTAATTTTTTTTCCTCCTCCCTAATAAGATATCCCTCCTGTTTCTCTACAGTCCATCGTCATTTTAAAGTTTTAAATCTTATAATTTAAGCACAGAAATTCAGAGCATAATTTAAAGAAAAATAAAGTGAGAAAAATTCGCGAATAGGCACTTTAAAATTGCAGTAACTTTGAAATAAATTAGAATATAAAAATGTTCGAGTGAACATTAGAAACAAAACTATTCTTTTTAGCTCGCAAAATTCATTTCAAATCTGTAGTTATATTCTTTTAGTGTGCAGAGCGGCCCGTATGGAATTTTTTTTACTTCAAGCTAATAATTTTCGAATTAATTTTTAAATGTTATTTTTTTTATTTCATAGTACTCAGTATGCAATTTACTACAATTCTTCGTAATTTCAAGTTTAAGTCTTAAAGTTTTATGCAGTGAAACAAAATGAAAAGCCAAACACCTAAAACAGCGCTGGCGGGGCTTACGATTTTTTAATATATAGAGATTATAAAAATGAGATTTTATTTTAGTTTATTATCATCGTTGAACAGCCCGTAGAACATTTTAAGCTTACGACTACTAATGTTCATCTCCGCAGCGTTGTAGCTTTGAACCCAATTTAGAAGACAAGGGAACTCCTGGATCAAGTATTGGGAAAAATTTGCCTTCGTGGAAAACCTTTTAAAGGAACTAACCTGCATTTGCGTTATATGGCGAGGAAAACCACGAAACCCTCTCGTGGTTAGCCCGATGGCTAGGGGACTCTAACCCATGACCAGTCTACCACAGAAGATATTTTTACGTCAGCACCGTGGTCAGTGCGAGCTGGGTGCGGAATTCGTATCGACTAGTCATCGCTGGGATTCGAACCTGGTTCACTTCACTAGAAGGCGAACACGCTAACCCCTGAGCCACCATGCCTCATAACAAATATTAATCATGATTTGGAATGTTTGGACAATAATTTAATTTTTACTCTCTTTCAGGCTCATCTGTTAGAAAAAATATTTTTTTGGTTCACTTTAAGATTTCATTTTTAAGACTCTTAATGAATTTAAAGTTATTGTTGTATCAACAACAGTAATATTTATACTTAATTTTTTTTTCAAATGATAATATAAGTATTTTAAGCATTTATTTATTTTTATTCTGCTTCCTTCTCAACGACAATAGTTCAAAATTCATAAAAAAGAAATTTTTTATTTGTACTTTATGTATTCATTAAGAGTTTTATATTGAGATTGAATTGAGAATTTTCACATTCTATTATTGTTTATATTGAGGTTTTTTTCTTATTCTATTAGATTTCATATTGAGAAGGAAGCTTTTTACATTTTATTATTGTCTCTATTGAGACATTAAATATAGTTGCTAATATTGTTGTTTACTAGTTCTCTATTATTTATGGTTAGCTAAGTTCATGATTTTCTTTTTTTCAAAAATCGGATTATTTTTATTAAAAAAAACTTTTTTTTAAAAATATTTACCAGCCAAATCATATGATAAAATATTAACAATACTTAGTATTATTTAACAACTATAACATAGCTAATAGCTAAATATTCAAAAATTATATTTTAATTTCTACAAACTAATCACGGAATAAACAAAATCTCGTTTTATTATTCTATTACAAGTTAAACATCCTAAATCTTATAGACTGGGAGGTGATTTATTAAACATCCAATGAAGTATAATTTAGTTTAGATCAAAATATATTTAAGGGGAAAAAATACGGTAAATTTCTTTGGACAGAACAAGTCTTTCTTCAATATTGGTTAACACCAACTACGTATTTACTATGATTTAAAAGCATTTTAAGTATTCAAATAAACATGAAACTAAATGGGTACAATTGAAATATGTTTATTACCTGCAAGTTATTTACATACAGCTAATAAAAGTCATAATTTATCAGGTTAACGTTGCTCTTACCCTTATTTGGCCTTTAATTTTATTTATTGATCAGTTCATTTTGAAATATAGTAATTTACCTTTTCAATTTTCTTTGAATAAAATAAAACTTCCATTATTGACACAGTCAGACTTTAACATGAATCATACAAGAATATATTTATAATAAGTATTTTCGACTAAATGATTTATTTAAAAGAAATCAATTGATTTGAATCAGTGATTTTATTAAAAAAATCACAATTGATTTAAATAAAAGATTTTTTTAAAGAAAAATCAAGTGATTGAAATTGCGTTTTAATTGATGATTTAAATTATACCAACCCTGTTGTTTACATTACGAAATTAAATTATTTTTCATTTCTTAAAAATTTCTTTTGCTTTCAGTTGTTCGAATATTTTCAATTTAATCTTATTTCAAAACTTAAATTGTAATCTCTAACTTTATAATATAAAATTCAATTTCTTTTTTAATTTTTTATGAAAAAATTTATCTTATTTCGTTCCTTTTAAAATTGCATATCAAACGAAATTTTGAGTAGACATTTTGAGTAAACATAGGCAACAGTAAATACATTCACTGATATAGAAAAAGTTTTAGTTTTCAGAAAAAAACTCTCCAGCCCGAGTTCTAAATTGACGAAACTCACTGAATTTATGATTCCACCATATTTTTCAAGAATAATAATTTTAAGAAGGTGAAGGCAAGTTAGTGACCCAACCTTAGAGCGCTTTTAAAACAGCCAAGAGGAATTATTTCATCATATCTGATCAGCTGCATTGTATTTCTGAAGCACTGTGCTTACTTCTCTGAGTGATAAAACGTCATATCCCATGAAGATAAGTTACTATTTTTACTACTTAGAATCGGAGAGTAGCTGAATATTTATAGTACGTTTGTCTCCGACGACATTCGGTAACAAACATGGAGAGTTTCTATTTAACGTTGTTTGTTTGTTACATGGCCTATGCCTACAATCGAAAATGTGTAGCTTTATCGATGCCCAAATTGATCGAAGAAGGTTTGGAAACGAGCCATGCTGGTGAGTCAAATTTTAAAATTTGATTTTTAAACTTATTGTCAAGGCAAAGTCTTATTTGTCCTTAAAACTATCTAATGTCCTTATCAATATATAAGAATGCTTCTTTAGCTTAATGTTACTCTTTGATGTAAATTTTTCATTAAACATATTTTTCATACTTTTTACATTATTTCGTATTATTATATTAGTATTTTAATAATTTATGGCCATGAAATAAGGCATGAAACACCGGTGTCTTTATTTAGATCTAGAAGATAAACAGTTATTCATCATTGGAATTTTCAAATCAATTATTGATACATTTTTGAATTTGAATGAAAAAAAAATTTCAAGCTTATCTATTTGGATTTCATATTTTAGTGCAAATATAATTCCAATTATTTATTTCGTATTATTATATTTAGTATTTCAATAATTTATGGTTATGAAATAAGGCATGAAACACCGGTGTCTTTATTTAGATTTTAGAGAAACAGTTATTCAGCATTGGAATTTGCAAATCAATTATTGATACGTTTTTGAATATGAATGAAAAAAAAATTCGATTTTATCTATTTAGATTTCATATTTTAGTGCAAATATAACTCCAATTATTTATTTCGTATTATTATATTTAGTATTTTAATAATTTATGGTTATGAAATACGGCATGAAACACCGGTGTCTTTATTTAGATCTTAGAGAAACAGTTATTCATCATTGGAATTTGCAAATCAATTATTGATACGTTTTCGAATATGAATGAAAAAAAAATTTCAATCTTATCTATTTGGATTTCATATTTTAGTGCAAATGTAATTCCAATTATTTATTTTTTCGTATAATGACATTTAGTATTTTAATAATTTATGGTTATGAAATAAGGCATGAAGCACCGGTGTCTTTATTTAGATCTAAGAGAAACAGTTATTCAGCATTGGAATTTACAAATCAATTATTGATGCATTTTTGAATATGAATGAAAAAATTTTTCGATTTTATCTTTTTGTATTTCATATTTTAGTACTAATATAATTCTAATGATTTAGCAGATTTTATTTAGTAACTATTAGACTGGTTTTTTATTATTTGAAAGTGCCAAATTTCATTTCCTTCTAATTAGAGCTTCGGAAAGAAAAATATATAAAAAGGAGACCGGTGTTCTGTCTGCGTCAAATGGTGTGAATTTGTAGCAGTTGTTAATAACTGTTAGGTTAAGTTTTGAGCATTTTTAGACAGTGCTAAGCCATACTTTGTAATTAGCTGACAAGCAGGTGTATTGAAAGGTAAATAGACTGAGATCAAAAAGCTAATTCTGAAAACTGGGCAAAATATCAATGTAAAGATAAGCAAATTTTTTTTTTTTGAAAATGTAAAGTATTTCTGATCTTATTTAAAATTTGAAATTTTTTGCTTACACTGCTTTGTTTGGGCGTATGAAAAATGCAAAAAGTGAACTTTATTCATTGACTTAAATTAAAAAGGAAAAATCTTGCTAAAATGCCAATTAATTCGCAATTTTTTTTAAAAAATAATTTTTATTATTACTCGCCCGATAAAAAACTTCATTCGTTTGCTTCTAAAATATACAAGTTGGAAATAACAGATATGTTTCAAGCGCTGAAAAGAAAAAAAAAGCCTCATTTGATGACTTGCCAGATGTGAATGAGGAGAAACAAACTTGATTTGAAATATGAAACTTAAAGTTGTCAATGAAAATTTGAAAATTAAGGGTGAGAAACAAAACTATAAAAAAACCATAGACCATAGTTTTCATACCTAAGACATTTTTCTACTATGATGAAAACTATCAAAATCATTGCCTTATTCTTAGTTTCTGCAAATTTGTATGAGCACTGGTAATACAGCATTGGAGTAAGTTTTTAAATATTAAAAAAATTAGACAGCAAACTCTTTCTATTTTCACGAAACTGGGGCTTTTTCTCCATATTGAGGTTTTGCGCCCTTTCAAAATAAGCATAGACAGCGCTGGCTTTAGATAGGCTAAATTTGACACAACAGTCATGAGTAACAGTTGCAAACTAACAGCAATAATAAAAATAGTATATTATTCACGGAAAAGTATCATTTCATATAACAACGGAGCTTTCGACAACCTTACACAGTTCAATTCTAGTTTTGCTCTCTTTCGGTGTCATTGTAGGCGTACATTTGCCCGGTATGCACTACACTGATTTTTTTTAAGGTTAAGTGCTACTTCGTATATACATTTGCCCGGTGTACCAACAGTTTGGTGATAAGCGTCAATCTATCGCATCGACGTTTTGGAGACATTTTTCAAAATCGCGCTAAGAGCCGCGATGGCTCAGGGAATGGAGCGTTTGCCTACCAACGCGGCGAACCGGGTTCGAACCCCAGTCGAAACGAATTCTGCGTCCGGCTTGCACCGACCACAGTGCTGACGTGAAATATCCTCAGTGGTAGACGGATCATGGGTTAGAGTCCCCTTGCGGTCAGGCTAACCGTGGGAGGATCTCGTGGTCTTCCTCTCCATGTTACGCAAATGCGGGTTAGATCCAACAAAAAGTCCTCCGCGAAGTCAAATTTCTCCCAATACTCGATCCAGGAGTTCCCTTGTCTTTTGGATTGGGTTCAAAATTGCAAGGCTACGGAGTTGAACATTAGTAGTCGTAAACTCGTAAAATTGGGTGGGCTGTTCAACGTCGGTTATAAAAAATAATCGCGCTAAGCGTGCTACGTATACTGTATTTTACCTTGATCACAATAAACTATTCATTTGGTAAGTTAATACTTTAATTGGAATGCATAAGTCTAATTTTGAATAACGCTTAAGTCTTGTTGAAATCTAGTCATTGACAGCTGAGCAATAAATTTACTTTCACAGGTAAAATTTGTGGCAACGACACAATGAAATTACTTTTCTTCTTCTTTTAGTGTTATAAAAATAGATAGACATAGATAAAGTTGGAAGAAAGGAAGGTTAGTGAATGAACCAATGTTTGGAATCAATCCATTTTCTTCATAACTTTACGGGGGATGCAAAGAATATATTTCACCAAAGAAATTTAATTTAAGTAAATGTTCCTTTTTTCATGCTGATAAAAAATCTGTATGATAATTTAAGATAATTTTAGTTTTTTTTTTGTGACTTAAGAATTATATTCCGTATCAAACTGGTTTGGATACGTATTGATTCTATTCAATTTATTTCGGTTAAGAAAAAGAAAAAGGAAGAGCGGCATGCTTTGTTTTATTTAAAAAGATGACTTTAGAAAAAAATATGAAGTGTTCAAGTAAGAACTAGCATATTTTTTAAAACTTTTTTTCTAAACAAGATTTTTTTGAAAAAAGAAAAATTCTTGTCAAAAGAAATATTTTTTTCATGATATTGGAGGGATTTTCTTCTTAAGTTAGAAAAAACTTTTTTTATAAGAAAAATCTTAATTAGGCAAGGGTTAATTATTTGTTAGGAATTGTACAAAGAAGTAAAGAAATAGATATAGAACTTAGGAAATTTAAAAGAAAAATGTCGATGAAGAAAAAATTAAACCTGTTTCGAAACTGAAGATAAATCAAAATGAAAAAAACAAGAAACGTATTATATCAAATCAGTTTGTTTCTTTATTAGATTTTAAATTGAAGACTTATCGATTATTTGATTAAAATTGTTTTAATTATAGCAATTTTGTTGAATGCGTGGTAAAATGCTTCTGTTTACCTATAGTATTGAAAAAAAAAACTTAACTGTAATATTCACTTACTCAATATAGCTCTTACTCGCTTATTCAATTTATAATATATTTCCATTAAATTACTTTCCTATACTAAAACATCTAATATTATTAATGTTTGGGAAATAAAATGAAATATTTTAAAAACGAATTTAAAATTTTACCTAGAGCAATATGTATTTATGGTAAAGCTATAGAAAATTTTGACAATTTACTTTTTCCTTATTTTTTTAAATTGTGTAGAAAAAAAGGGAAAGTTTTTAAACTTTAATGATCTTTACTAAAATCTTTTGGAGTTGAGCTGTAACCTGTCTGAAATTCTAACCTGTTTTAATTCCAGACGAAAAT